GAGAGTGGGGGCCTGCGGGGTATAACCTTTGGTTGGGTGATGATGCATGGACGGAATGGTAACTATGGCAATGAAACGATGTATGACAGAATGAGTGTAAAGCTAATGTTCCCCCATGTAAACTATCACACAATAAAAGGGGGGAAAATGGATGAATGAATATATGAAGTTCACAATGAAAGAAACAAAGGGTTTCTAGTTTCTAATCATTGAACACAATATGAATTTCAAAACCTTCCTCCATGGATTAAAAAAAGGGTTATAAGATCTGAGCGATAATTCTTAGTCCTTCACCACACAGTTCAAATGTATTCACAGACATCATTGCCTAGCGCTCCTTAATAACAAGTCACAAGGGTCCACGTCCATGCAGTGAAAGTTATGTTCAATTTTGACAAACGCTATGTGCTGTGGAAAGGAGTATTGGTAGTACAGTGGGTTAAGTGCTGGACTGCTAATGACAAAGTCAGCAGTTAAAAACCACCAATGCTCCACAAGAGAAAGATGAGGTTGTCTATTCCTGTAAAAATTTCAGTCCCTACTGAGCAGTTTTACTCCGTAGTACATGGTGGCTTTGAGTCAGAATCAACTTGACAGCAGTGGGTTTTATTGTGCTATGGAAGGAGCCTAGTGGTGCAGTGGGTTAAGTGTTAGGCTGCTCATCAAAAGTTTGGCGGTTTGAACACACCAGCTACTCTGCAGAAGAAAGATGAGACCATCTGCTTCCCTAAAGATGCACAGTCTTGCAAACTCTAAGATGCAGTCCTATTCTGTCCTATACGGTCACCATGAGTGAGAATCGGCTCCATAGCAGTGGTCATGCGTGATGAAAGTAGAGACGATCATGATTAATTATGACTAACAAAATCAAACCCAGTGCCTTTGAGTTAATTCTGACACAGAGTTTGCTTTTTGGTTGGGGTCAGAAGAGGTTTCATTTAAGAGGTGACATTAAGATAGGGCTTTAAAGGATAAATGGCATTTTATAAGACAGGGAGGTAAAGAACATTCTGAGTATACTAAGCATATGACCATAATTCCAAAGAATTTTTACAGCAGTAATAAAGTAGTGGCTCCGTTGACCCTTCGTCTTGGGGTGGGAGGTAATACTTTTGCGAGTACCAAGATGGTATTGCCCCAGCATACCAGCTACAGAACATAGGAAAATCACAAGCCAAGATATAAATGCCCACAAAAGAAAGATACGAGGATGCCCTTTAACAAAAAGAAAAGACTTCCCTACTTTGGCCAGTTCATCTCCATTGCAAGGGAATTCTACCTTCTCCCTCTTCCAGAGTGTCTACTTCATTTATGCAAATGTCTCTTTCAGCTTCCATTTCCCATGGGACTATAGTTTTCATATTATAGATGCTCAAATAAGGTTAGACTAGTGAATGAATGAATGAATCCATTAACTAATGGACCTTTAATTTAGCCAGCAAGTCATGAAGCAATAAATACTCTAACAACTTTGGGCAATACATATTTTCTGACCTGATATAATATCAATTCTGGTGCTGTGGGATAATACACTGGACTGCAAGGTCAGTTTGAACCACAAGGTTGGCAGCTGAAATTCACCAGCCGCTCCTCAGAAACCCTATACAGGGTCGCTATGAGTTGGAACTGACTTGATGGCACTTAACAACAACAACAACAAGTGAGGTAGTTATGGCAACGCATGCAGTGTGTGCTCATCAGAGCAGTGCCTAGGATACAAATGAGGCTATACCGAAAAGCCTACCAGGTGCATCTCTTACAAGAAGTTTTAAAACAACTAAGAGAAGACTGCTTACCTGCCAGAGGCATTGAGGGGAAGACCACTGAATTTATTGTAGCCTTGAGGACCATAATCCCAAAGAATTTTTTCAGCAGCAATGAAGTAGTGTCTCTGTTTGCCCTTCATTTTGTGGTGGGGAGCAACACCTTTGCAAGTACCAACATTGTATTGCCCCAGCATACCAGCTGCAGAACACAGGAAAACCACAAGCCGAGTTATAAATGATCATAAAGAAAGATATCATATAGGAAAGGATGGGTAGATTTGACTTTGTGAAAATATAAAACTTTTGTACAGAAAACTTAAGCAAAGTTAAAGTAAAGGGTAAATGTCAAGGAAGGCATTACATATGTAACATATGACAGAGATTAACATGAGTATATAAATCCTTCTTACAAACAAAGAGGGGGAATGATAAATTTCTCAATAGGAAATGGGCAGGGAACATTTAAAAATGGGTTATTCACAAATCAAGTATATGAGACCAAATGGTCAACATTTACCCAAAAAACAAAGATAATAAGGCAAGAAGTAGAAGGTAAATAAGTGAGTGAAGACAGAACAACCCGAACAGAAATAATGAGAAGCTGCTACATTGTGCAAACTGTTACACATGACATGGAACAATTTGTATAAAAATTGTTAAAAGGGAGCCTAATTTGATGCTTCACCTTAAACATAATAAAATATATTTTTACATAGGTTATTTGCAAAATAAATACAATTGTTCAATAAAAATGTTTAATCTTAATTAAAGTGACTGTTTTTCACTTATGTTGGTAAAGATTAGAAAGACTGATCATTCTCAGTGCTGGTCCAAGAATCGGGAAAGGGCATGCTCACACACTGTGGGTAGAAGAGCAACAATTTCTAAAAAAGAATTTGGCAATGTACATCCAAAGCTTAAAACAGGAAAAAAGTAAAACTTTTTGACTCAGGAATTCCAAATCTAAAACTTTTCTTAAGGAAATGCTCAGAGAAAAATGCAAAAGTATCTTTAAATTGATGTTTAACAAGGAAGTTAAAATGTTGTTGTTATTGTTGTTAAGTCCTCTCAAGTCAGTTCTGACTCATAATGACCCTGTATAGGATTTCTAAGGAGAGTCTGATATGGGTTTTTGAATCATCAACCTTGTGGTTAGCAGTCCAGTGTTGAACCTAAAGTACCTTGGTCCCAAGGAACCATAATTAAGATATGCAACAAGCATTTCATTCAATAGATGTTTATCATGCATCTACCATGAGTCAGGGGCAAACTCAATGGCAGCAAACAACAGCAAAAACCATAGACCATGAATAAAGGTACATATAGGCCAATGGATTTCATCCCAAGACCAAGAAGAACTTTCTAATTGAATAATTTGGAGATAAAATGAGATGCTACAATTACTTAAGAGAGATGTTCAAAAGGAAATTCAAGAACTGGATAAGGGATTGGTCCAAATTATCTACAAAGTCCTTTCTAATGCTAAAAAATATATGATTCTATTTATGGTTGCTCAAGTAGAACTTTTATTTTTCCCAGTTCATATTTCTGCTATCTGGAAAGCTTCCCTTCCCTTCTTCATCTACTTAATGTCTACTGGATATTTCAAGATTCCAAGTAGGAGCCAGCTCCTTAAAGACGCTCATCTCCAAAGAAGAGCCTTGATCTCAATCTGCCTCAATTTTGGTTTATTTTGCATTTAACTGTTAGATTGTAGGTTCCTTGATGGTCTTATAATTTCCTCCAATCACCTTTCCCTGCTTTCTTCATGGAGAGATGAACAATATATATCATTTGACAAGATGCCAAGCAAATGAGCATTTTACATTTTCCTATACATTTAATATGCTCCCCAGCCAAGAATGTAACAATGAATTGTTATACTGTCTACTGTGCAGTTTAATGGCAACATTCTAAGTGTCTCTACATTTGCTCTTTTACCTTGCAGGTGATCACTGACTTGGCAAGTAATCATCCATTTCCCAGGGTTCTCAACTATCATTTCTACAGTCAGGAAGGTGGCTGGAAACAGGTTGACAACATCAGTTCGGTGCCCTCTGCTGATGAAGGTATTGCCATAAAAATAGATGGAATGGATGTCTATCTCATTTCCCATTCCGAATAGGTGCCAGGACACGGATTCACCAACACACATTTCAGGCTCTGGGAAGTTTCCAAAGAGGTATCCGTTGAGGGCTGAAAAGAGAAAAACATTTGTGCAAGAGACTCCCCCAAAGTGAGCAGGACCAGAATTACTGACAATAAACACAGTCAGCTCTTATCATTGGTTGTAAGGTATTTGTGCAGAAAGGCATGGCTCCTTTTAAAAATATGTTGTCCCCGGAAGGAATGAGCATGCTGTATTGGCCTTTTTAAGAGAAAAGCAGTAAGAGTGACTATCAGCACACACTGCATAAACCACCTCCCCAGTTGCTGTGTGAACTCAACACTGAGACCAGGAGAAAACAGCATGCGCCTCAAATTCCCAGCATGCCTCAATTATTTAGATGTAATCCCTCATTTCCATATCTGCCTTCCTGGGCTGGGTTCTAAGTTCCTTGGGGCTAGAAACCTTGTTTTACTCATTTTACAGGACCTAGTAGAAAAACTGGCAGATGATAGATTCCTAATTTAAGTGACAAAACCATAGAACAAAAACAGGTTAAATCCTTAATTTCTTGTTTGTTTGTTTTTTTTACAGTTTATATGTGTGACTAGGACTCTAAGTCACATAAGGTTTTTATGAGCATTTCTTTACCTGCTAACATTGTTGTTGTTGTGAAGTGCCGTTGAGTTGGTTCCGACCCATAGCGACTCGACGGCAGTTAACAACAACAACAAATGACTATTAGAAAATGCAAGTAAGAACTTGATTTGGCATCTGAAAAAGTCATAATCTCATTTCTTAAATTCAAAACTGAGTTAAAAAGTGATTTTACTAAAACAATAATTACACAGACAGTACAATCGATTCTAACACATTTCTATAACTTTAGATACATTAATCAATAAATTATGCATTGATTGAACACCTTCTATAGACCAGTTTTTTTAAGTTATTGTTGTTGTGTTTTTTTTCTGTACTTGTTAGGTCTTTGTTAGTTGGAAGGATTGATTGTTTTCAAATACCTACTTCTGTATAGAGACTGCTGTTTTTATTTTGTTTTGTTCTGCTTTGTTTTGTTCTTAATGTAACCTATATTTCCTTGATATTTCCTTGGCAGCACAATGGGCTGGTTACTAACTGAAAGGTCAGCAGTTCAAACCCATCAGCCTCTCTACAGGAGAAAGATGAGGCAGTCTACATATGTAAATATTTACAGCCTCAGAAACACTATGGAGCAGCTCTACTCTGTCCTTTATGGTTGGAGTCGGAATTAACTCACCAGCAGTGGGTGGTGATATTTACTTGAAAGAGCCTGACAATTGTTGAGGACTAGATTGCTGCTCCAAAGGTTGGCAGTTCAAACCCATTCAACATATATCTGTGGGATAAAAGATCTGGTGATCTGTTTGTTCCTATAAATATTGTTATTGTTGTTTGTTGCAGACCGTGAAGGCCTGGTCAGAGGTTCGAGGCCCTACCTATAGACCCGAGTATAACAGATCTAGCCAGCTGGCAGTTAATAACAAATTATTTTTCACTTTGTGTCCAGTTATGTTTTATTAATTGCAGAAATGAAGCCCTTGATATACACAGATAAATGTAATATTTTCCTAAAAGCCAAGACTGTAAAATTCCAAACAGGCAAAGTTTTCCCCTCAGAGAATTCATTCAAGGTAAATTGGGTGGCTCCCTGGTCTGTTCCAAGGACAATAGGAATGCCCTCCCTAAAGTGTTTCCAGGTGCTGCCTATTCACCCAGGTGCCTCTTTTCCTGAAGAACCTGGGCTGGGCAGGTTCTTCAGAAAAAGACACAATAGGAATCCTCTCAATCCTCCCTTTCCTCCCTCCATTTGAGGCTAGGTGCTAAAAGGTATGTTAATTAAACTTGAGAAACCAAGTTGCCGTGGTGAGATTCGAACCTGCGAAGTATGATGTAAAGTTGCCTTAATGTCTGGAAAAGTAAGATTGACAGCTGTACCTTGTCTTAGCCCCTCCTAGCTTTGTGTAAAGTACCTCCCCTAAATAAAAGGAAGGCGCAGAACGAATCCAGGTGCATTACGACTGGCAAGGCGTGCATTACAGCATGCAAGGGGCACAGTCCAGCCTTGCAACCATACTGCCTATTTAGCTAAGATGTTTACTATGCAGGATATTACGGCCTTCATGGCTGAGATGTTTGCAACGCATGATCTGCCTGATGCCAGTCCAGCATTCACTCTGGTTTCGGAGTGCCTCTTTGTCTCTCTCTTTGCGTCTCTGTGTCTCTTTTGCTATCTCTATCGCCGTCAGGTATCTCCACCTCGTGAACCGAACCCCTATGTCGAGGCCAGTCCCCGATAGTTGTTAAATGCCGTCGAGTTGATCCTGACCCATAGTGACCCTGTATAGGGTTCTGAGGAGCAGCTGGTGAGCTTGAACCACCAACCTTGCAGTTCAAATGGCTTTGCAATCTGGCACATTAACCCACAGCGCCACAGCGTAGAAATTTCTATGGGATAGTTGTACGCTGTCATATGGGGATGAGTTGCAATCAAGTGTACCTCAGAACAACAGCATATTATGTAATCCATCCCTTTCTGTTGGACATTTTCACTTAAAAGAGAGTAAGAAGAATTCTGTGTTTATCTAAGCATTGTGGTTGCTACTATTGTGTGCCATTAAGTTGGTTCCAACTCATAGCAAACCTGAATAGGGTTTCTGAGAGCAGCTGGTAAGTTTGAACTGCCAAGCTTTGGTTAGCAGTCCAGTGCTCATCTTATCCTTAAACTGTCACAATTTTCAGCAATATTTCAGATCAGAACTCATTTTTTATAAAGAACAGGCTTACAGTTTAAATGGTCACAGAAATGACTTAAATTTTACTCCATGCTTCATTTATATTCCTGATTCTCTCCCCTCTAGTTTTCCTCCTTTCTTTACTTCCTCCCCTTCTAAAATATCTCCCAGCACCACTACACACAAGGCTGCTGAAATATCACTAGAGGAAAAAGAGAGGGCATGTGATACAACGGAAGTAGTCAGTGTACTATGCCTTGCTACTGGCACTAATTATTACTTTGACCTTAGGCAAGTTATTGATGGTGTCTTAACTTCAGTTTCTTCATCTGTAAAATGAGGGAGGTAGAATGATCTTCAGCTCCTTCCCTCTCTCTTATGATTTTATGACTATAATGAAACTGCCTTCATTAGGATGATTCTGAGACAGACAAGCAAAAGATGGAGGAGATTTGTCAATTAAGGAAATGGGGGGTTTATGTGGAAGATTCCCTATATGTTCACTAGAACGCTCTAGGAAATAAAGTGGAACAAGACCACTAAATAATTTCCACACCATAAAATTCTGCATTAAGTCACTGTTCCCTCCAACTGGGATGAATGTGTTCTGTCTCAGCTGACTGGATAATTTCAGAAATCCATTACTTTGCATAAATCTAGTGTCTTTGTTGACTTAAAGAATGCCTAGGAAATCGAACAAATTCACAACTACATCTTTAAACTCCATACATAGCATAGTTCTTGACATTTACCAGTCACTCAGAAAACAGTTACCAGATAAAGCTAGAAGTTACAAAACATGAGATTTTCTTTAAAAATTATTTTAGTGAACATAAAAAAAAAAAAAGTCTAAGACACACCATTTCAATAATTTCTCCAGGTGCAATTCAGTAACATTATTTATATGATTCAAGTTGTACTAGCTTGTTTTTCACATTATTCTATCACTGATCATCTTAAACTCACTGTCTCCTAAGCTTCCTATCCAACCTTTCAAATTCCAATTGTCAATTTGATCTTATACAGATCCTTTTTTTTTTTTTTAAAAAAAAAGCACCGGTGCTCCAAGCAGATGTTATTTACTAATTAAAATAAGCTATCTGTTGTTGTTGTTCAAAGAAGACTTCAGTTTTGATTTAAGGTTTAAAGTTTAGAGATGATCTTAGGGAAACAGTCTTCAGGGTTCAGCCAGCATCAAGAAAATATATATTCACTGAGAATTTGAAATTCTTTTCTATATCTCCATTTCCTTTTGATCAGGATTCTTCTATAGAACCTTTGATCAAAGCATTCAGTAACGGTAGCCAGGCACCATTCTGCTCTTCTAGGATTCTTATATGATGATGATTTGGTTCTCTTTCCCCTTTCTGGCAATCTACACTCACCTATCCACTGGGTTCCTCATACATCCTGATTTTTTCCTGATTATAAAATTAATTCCTCCATTTTCCGTGTCACAACTTTGCCCAATTTAACAGTGTTTTATTGCCTTGTCCCTTATCATATTGTTTCAGGCTTTAACGTGTATCACCATTTTCTAATTATTCTTGTCAATCTTGGAAAGCTGGTTTAACATTTCTGTAGGGTTTTTCCTTTCTTTCTTTTTTTTTTTTGCATCGCTGTAGTTTCAGGTACACTAAAAAGTACTAGGCGTGTATTTGTTGAAATGTGGGAGACACTCACCATGCATTTTGTTGCTCCTCTGGAAAACAGCATCTTCTTTGTCAACAGAATCGGGGTGACTACAGAAGTGTCTGATATTTTCATTGAGGTACCAGCTCTGGTTCTCATCCACCAAAGTAAACATTATGACGAACTCTCGGTCCACATCAGTCCTTGTTCCTGAATATTTATGAAGGACACCTAGCAGGCACATTCAAAAAAAGTAGAGGCAAAAGTTCAAGATGAACTAAATCAAGATGAGATTTTACATCCAGCCAATGGTATCAGGTAAGTTTGCAGCTTGTCAAAAACCTACAGAAGGGTGATGTGGCCTGGCTGGATGCTGCAAACAATTAACACTGAATGATTAAAAGCTCAAGTCTACTCAGATGGGCATTGGAAGAAAGACCTGGAGATTTATTTCTAAAATACCACCCACCAAAAACCAAATGAAGCACAGTTCTATTCTGACACACAGAGTTCTATACTGACACAGTTCTATACTGACACACACAGTTCTATTCTGACACACAGAGTTCTATACTGACACACACAGTTCTATTCTGACACACACAGTTCTATTCTGACACACACAGTTCTATACTGACACACACAGTTCTATTCTGACACACACAGTTCTATTCTGACACACACAGTTCTATACTGACACACACAGTTCTATTCGGACACACACAGGGCCACCATGACTCAGAGTCAACTTTAATAGCAACTTATTTTTTCAGAATACAAAACCTGGCAAGGGCTTTAATAGAGATGATAAAATTTGAAAGAGAAAAATAAAACAAATCTCCCAAATCACAGATTTGGAAACCTGTCTATTCCTAAAGTTTGTTGTTGTTAAGTGCCATCAATTCAGTTGCAACACATACTAACCCTGTATAGGCTTTCCAATGTGCGTCCGGTGAGTTTGAACTGCTGACCATGTGGTTAAAACAGTCCAGTGCTTTATCAAGGAGACAGACATAATTGGCAGAGCACACACATAATAAATCAATTAACAGAGAATCAAAACCAAGCTGATTGTTTTGGGTGAAATAACAAAGCAAGAACACCATTTAGTCTAAAAAATTGACAAAATTTTGCATTGACTATGTGTGGTGTCGGTGTGGAATTTCCCTGTAAATACACAAGTTTCAGAATTCTGCCATGGCTCTTATGAAATCTTGATTACTGCCTCTCCCAATGGTGTTAGATTGAGCTTCCTTGTTGGAATAATTTCCCTACTTTTCAAGAATGTTTACAAGAAAAGGTATATAGCAAAAGGAGAGAGGTAAAACAAGAGCAGAATCTTATACACAATACATCACACCAGAAAGTTACCTGAGAACAGGTCCCTGGAGGTGAAGGGCCTTCTTACCTTCCTTACACACCAGCAGTGGACCAATTAGCCCAGAGCAAATATCCTTAGGGGCGTCAATGTGTGAGTGGTACACCCAAGTCAGACAGTTGGCATCTGCTGGAGCAGGTGCATATTCCTCCCTCACCGGCCAGACGTAGGTGTAGTTTTTACCAGGAGGAACCATGTCATCATCCTTGTTCTTTCCAGATGTTCCATCTGGGTACAGAGCTCCTATTAAGAAAATATAGTTAAAACACAGAGATCACACACAAGCAGTAGTGGAAAGTTAGGAGCTTTAGAATCAAACGTAATGAAATTAAAATTCATTTACTATGAGATTTCAGACAAGTTAGTGACATTCTTATCAATTTGGTTTTCTAACTGGAATGTTGATATCCATCCTACAGGATGGTGAGGACTTGATGAGGCAATGTATATGGCGTGCCCTGCACAAAACCAAAACCAGTTGCCTTTGGGTCCATTCTAGCTCATGGCAACTCTCTTAGTTATCCAGAACTGCTATAGCAGAAATACCACAAGTGGATGGTTTTAACAACCAGAAACTTCATTCTCTAGTTTATGAGACTAGAAGTCCAAATTCAGAGTGCCAGCTCTTGGGGAAGGTTTCCTCTTTTTGGGTCCTGGGGAAAGATCCTTGTTTCCTTGCAGCATCTGTGTCTAGTATTCCTTAGAGATCTCCATACATCTTAACAGCAATCTTTCCCCAGACCTGGGAGCTTCACAGTGCAGGGACCTCAGGATCAAAGAACACACTGCACTCCACCAGCTCTTCTACCTTGGTGGTAGTCAGCCCTTCTTTCTCTGCTCAAGTCTCTCTCCTTTTATCGCTTTCTCTGTCTCTCTCTCTTTTTTTTTTTTTTTTACTTTTTATTATGAATTGAGTGAAGGTTTACAGCACAGGTCATCAGTTTTATATTCAATTAACCACATCCTTTGCTTTATTACAATGATTGCAATCCCCTTCATGTACCATCTGTTAACAGTATTTAATTGTATTCACATCAGTTCTTGCATTCTTTCCTGTGTCTCCCACTACCTTCATCTTTCCTCTGTCAACCTCCCACTTGTATAGTGCCTGCCTCATCACCATGTTAAGGAGCTTTGGTAGCGTAGTGGTTACGAATTGGGCTGCAAACCTCAGGGTCAGCAGTTTGAAACTACTAGCTGTTCCACGGGAGAAAGATTTACAGCCTCAGAAACCCTGTACAGGGTCACTATGAGTCGGAACTGACTCCACAGCACATAACAACAACGTCCAACAACGTCACCATGTTAACATGTGTCTACCCAATAGTCAATGAACATTTTTTCCTCCCCACCCTGAATTTAACATAAAATGTTTCTTTTAAAACCTTTTCTTAACTTTTTACAACAGTGATCTCATACAATATTTGTCCTTTTGTGATTGACTAATTCACTCAGCATAATGTCCTCCAGGTTCATCCATGTTGTGACTTTTACAGATTCATTGTTAATGCTCAACAATGCATAATAGTCCATTGTGTTTATGTACCATTCTTCTGTTGGTAGGCATTTAGGCTGCCTCCATCTTTTTGCTATTGTGAATAGTGCTGTAGTGGGCTTTGTAAAATGTGCCTCTTGTAGACAGCATATTAAAGGATCCAGTTTTTTATCTTATCCATGATGCTACTCTCTGCCTTTTGACTGGTGCATTTAAACTATTTACATTCAGTATTATTATTGATAGGTATGAACCGATTGCTGTCATTTTACTGTGTGTTTTTTTGTGGCTCTGCTGGTTTGTTTGGATTTTTTTCAACATAATTTTTGTGCTGAAAATTTTATTTGTGGGTTTTCTTTTCATTTTCATTTCTGTAGTTTTAATGTTTACTAAATCTTTCTGATTTTCAACTTTATTATTTTTATGGGAAAGTGTATTGATTTACTTTGATGTAACCCTATAATTTATTAATTTGCCCTCCTTTCTAAAACACTGTTTTATCTTGAAATCTACTTGACTTCCTCATCATTTGGAAGTTCGATATCTACTTTATTCCCTCTCTTTGCTTTGTAGTTGACTTCATTATAAATTGATACCTCTGGTATTCTAATTTCAGTCCTGTAGTTTGTTTAACTTTAAATACTTCTATATCAATATTGGATTCCTGGTGTGGCATTGTAAGATCAGCATTGGACTGCAAACCACACGGTCATTAGTTCAAATACACCAGCTGCTCCTGGGAAACCCCATAATGGGTCGCTATGAATCAGAACCAACTCGACAACACTTAACAACAATAACAATATCTGTACTGAGTTCTGGGTGGTGTTGTCATGTATTTTAATTTCATTATTGCCACCTGCTACTGTTGGTTTTCAGTCCAAAGAACACCTTTAGTATTTTTTGTAAAATTAGTCTGTTTATTATCAATTCCTTTAATTTCTGTTTACCTGGAAATGTTCTAATTTTGCTCTCATATTTGAGGGATAGTTTTGCTGAGTAAATGATTCTTGGGGCAATTGTTTTCTTTCAGAGTTTTGTATATGCCATCCCATTGCCTTCTGGCCTGCTTGTTTGTTGCTGAGAAATCAGAACTTGTCTTATTAGTTCTCCTTGATAGGTAACTTGTCATTTTGCCAAGCTACTCTCAGGTTCTTTCCTTGTCTTCGGTTTTTGAAAGCTTGATTATGATATGTCTTGATTTTCTTTTGGGATATGTCCTACTTGGGGTTTGTTTCATTTCTTGTATGCTTATTTTCTTACCTTTTTAACAATTTTCTCTGTGCTTTATATTTCTTTTCCTGTTCTGGAATTTCAATAACTAAAAAGTTATTCCTTTTCATGTTAGGACTTCTTCAGATTTTTTTCATCCTTGTTTTCTGATTGTTCTTCTAGCATACTAGTATTGAGAGATTCATCTTCAAACTTACTAATTAAGGTTTCCATTGCTTTGAATCTACTCCTTTGCCATTTCCATGTAATGTCCATTTTTGAAATCTTAATATTAATCTTCTGAATGACTAATTGCAGGTTTTGTATTGTTTCAAAATTTGCATTTAGTTGTCAATTTGTTCTTGTAGTGTTTTCTGGAATTCTTCTAAAGTTTTTTTCCTGTATTCTGCTTGAATTCCTTAATCTTTCTGTCAATCCTTTGAAGTTATCTAAATATCATTCTTTTTTGTTAGCTCCATTACCTTTTCTTCCTCAGAAACGTTTTCTGGATCTGCATCTTGGCCATTTGTTTGAGCCATTCTCTCTTATTTCTTCATGTGAGCTAAAATTGTCTGTTGTCTCTAGAACACTGTGGTGTTGTCATATTTTTATTTAATTGATGATATGTTCTTAGGCTCTCACTAACTGTCCTCTGTGGAGAGTGGAAACATGTATACCGTTTTCCATTTGCTATCCGTGCATCTCCCTTTAGGTTGGATTTGGCTGGTGTTGGCTACTGTCTGTCATTGATCAGGTAGTATAGGAGGAGTTGGTATTGGTTCTTGTCCATTGAATGAAGCTTCAGAGGCTACAGTTGTGACAGGGCTGATGTGCATGGTTACTATCTCCTGTTGGGTGGGAAAGAGGAGAAACATACCCTGACACATACACACTAACACATAAGAAAACAAAACAGAATTTAAAAAAAAACAAGCAACTAATAATGAAAATAGAAAATAATAGAAGGTATAAAAGAAATAAAAAATGGGCAGTAACCAGAAAAAGGAATGTAACAAATAAAAAGAAAAACAAGGTACAGGAAAATGGAGCCATTATAGGGGGAAATAAGAGAAAATAAAAGGAAGAAATTAAAATTTAAAAAAACTTAGAAAAACCAAGGAGAGGGAAGATGAAAAGAGAGAGTGAGTAGTACAGAAAGATCAAAAGGAAAGAAAAGAAGTAATTAGTAATTAGAAACTGAAGGAAAGAAGGCAAAATAAAAGCAGAGATAGAAAAGATAAAACTCAAGGGAATGGAAAGAGAAGAAGAAGAAAGAATAAACAAACAAAAACAAAAAGAAAACCCCCAAACAAAACAAAGCAAAAACAGTATAACTGTAGGACCCAGAGATGAGAAAGCTGTGGGGTACTCCTGAAAACCAAGGAGCTCATGAGTTGGTGCAGAAGGGGTGTGACAGCTGAGTTCCTGGCCCTAGATGAAGTTATTATAGACCTAGGTATTATATGTGTTCAGGGCACTCAATCCAGAAGTCATTTGTGTAGTCCTTTGATAGAGCTGGTTTCACTGTCTGTTAAGAACCGAGGTCAGCTGGGAGTAGGATTGCTGGTTATGAGGGTTTCTGTTAGACTAATGCTGGTCTAGTGGATCTGGGGGTTCTGTAGGTCTGGAGCTGATC